TTAAACTATTTCTTGTTATGATTTTAAATCTGTATTTAACCTCGGAATGATCTCAAAGTAAAAAGAGGTGCTAAAGTCTGATTTTGTGTTAGCTGTGCTTTAAATTAAAATTTGTATAATCTTAATTCAAGTGATGAAGTATTTTGAGAAGTCTGACAGTAATCAGTGTTGAGTCCTACTGTAAGTTTGACCCTGCCTGGTTTAAATGCTTCAAAATGATTAACAGCTGAAAATATTCATTAGAATATTCAACGTAATCAAAAATAATCAAATGTAATCAGTTACATTACTTCAGTAAAGTAACTGAAATAGTTACACTACTTATTACATTTTAAATAGGATAGCTTGTAATCTGTAACCCATTACATTTCCAAAGCAACCTTCCCAACACTGTAACATACCTCGTCTACGTGTAGAGTTAGGCGGTCTCCAACCTTCAGTGTGCCGTATACTGTACCAATATGCAGCACGTACCCTCCGCGCACCTGAGTATTCTTCACGGTGAACTCCATCCTCTGAAGCAGCACAATAAAACATGACAGCACCATGAAGCATAACTAAATCAGGCAGTTCAGCATCTTTATACAACCACTCTCAGTTTCTTACATCCTCAGCAGAGTCGTTTTCTCGGAGCATGTAGCCTTCATCAAAGCTCTGGCCACCCTGCTCGGCGTAGAAAGAGGTTTTGTCGAGCAGCACTCCACACTCTTGACCTGTGGTCGCCTCATCAACAAATGCACGCTCCCTCCTGAGAGCCAGCACTGTGCCCACTGCCTGTTCAAACTCTGAGAGGGACACACAATGTCACAAGCGCGAAAACCTACGCATAATCAAACCGTAAAAATCAAGAGGAATAGCAAAGGTGTAATTCATACCATAGTTGCCGTTCTCATTTGAAGTGTACTTGTACTTGAGGCTGTCATCAGTGGCAGTGACACCTTTGTTTCTGAGCTCTTCAATGGCGTAGATGTCCAGCATGATGTGGTCCTCGTCCCCAGAGCCTTTGCCCTGAGACTTCAACTGTGGGCACAGATATTTTAATTAGACTCATTTACATTAATACAAAACACTTAAATTACTGTTACCCGTTGATATTGGATATATATTGGATTAGTATCTCGGATGATACAGGATTTTACCTATTTAACCTATTTGAACATCTAGATTAACTTCATATACATATTCAAAATTCCCTTGGAATTGATTAAAACCTATAAATATATATATATATATATATATATATATATATATATATAGCTACACATTATAATTGAAAATATGAAGTATTTTCATTTTAAGAGCTTAGATTACATTTAACAGTACTATTAAATTAGTATTTTTAATCACTGATATCGTTGCCACTGAGTTCTGCTAGTGTCCTCTGTGTGCTTTATAACTGTGAAATTATTCTGAAATTATAAATGGAAATTGCACTGTATGGAAGAATGAACATTTAAACCTGAGCAGCTTTCTTCTCATCCTCAAAGGCCTGTATGTCCACTCCCATTCCTCGTTCCTCAGCGATCAGGGCAGTGAGGTCCAGAGGAAAACCATAAGTGTCATACAGCAGCCAGGCTGTGTCACCTACACAAAACAGTGGCATTTATGGCGAAAAAATGAAACAACAGCTTTAGAATGTGGATTTAAGCATAAGGGGGGAAAAAAGGAAAATTTGAGAGAAAAATAAATCTCTTTACAATTCAGTCTCAGGCCAGATTTTGAATTATGATTATTACTTTTTCAGTTCATTATATATTAAATTATTATAATACAGTAACAATACTATAGTAATAAAACTATTGTACTGTAAAATAAATCTGTATTTAATAAATATAATTTTACTTTTCAGAACGACGGTAAACTCACAATACTAGTATTTATGTACTCTTTACATTTTTATTTTGGTGGAAAAACACAGAGAGACCTTAAAGCTTCTCTTAGATTTATAAACAATTTTCATTATAAATTTGGGAAAATGGTTGGAGATTGTTTTATTTTCAAATGCATGTTACAGATACTGATTAGGGTTCTTTGTGGTATTATGTGCTTTACCTGGTATAGTGTTGCTGTCTCCAAGACTCTGGATTTTGCGGTCCAGGATGCGGCGTCCCCTGCTAAGGGTCTTAAGGAACTGTGCCTCCTCCTCATTGATGATGTCCTTTACCATATCAGGATCCTTCCGCAGCTCTGGAAAAGCATCACCCTGTAGAGAGCAATGAACCATTAAATGGCCATCAGAGAGATATGTCTAATTAAAGAGCATCTCAATGTTTCAGCAGCTGCCACTTTAAATCACTGTCAAAGCTGCAAACAGGGAATCCTTATTCACATAAAATCAGGAGGAAAAATATAGTGTCTGAGAGGTAGAGGCCTTACCAGAGACTCAACCACCACATCTACCAAAGAGGCAAAGAAGCCCTTCTGTGCACCCAGCTTCTCGTGAGAGTATCGCACAGCACGACGCAGAATCCTCCTCAGCACATAGCTGCAACACAAAAACAGGGTCACATACACATACATTGACTAAATGCCAATTGCTCAGCATATAATAACACAATCATCTCACCCCCTGCCCGTGTTGTCAGGCCTGCCGCCATCAGACAAGGCAATGGTAATGGTGCGGGCGTGATCAGCCAGGACACGGTATGCCATGTCAATACCATCTGTGTCTTCTGCACCAACTTTTCCTGTGTATGCCCTGGCACCTGTTCCCTGAGAACCAAGAAATTATTTTTAGTAACGTGCAAAACAGTATTTAGTCAGGTTTTCTATGCTTTTCTATGATATTACCTTCTGAATGGCTTCAAAATAAGGGATGAACAGATCTGTGTCGTAGTTGGACATCTTGTTTTGTAGTACAGAGACCAAGCGCTCCAGTCCCATCCCTGTGTCAATGCTCTTCTTGGGCAGAGGCTTTAGAACTGTCTCTGATTCTCTGCATAGAGAGATCATATGCATATGCATTTAAAACAAGTCAAATTGAAAATTAAAAATGGCTGCCAAAATTAATACTGCTGAACGGTTAATTAATAATAATCTTATTGCTAAAATGTCAAGTTTTCTTGGACTAAAACTAGACTAAAATGTTGAGACTTTTAGTCAACTAAAACTTGACAAACTAAATAGGACAAGGCTGACTAAATATGATAAAAACTAACAAGGACATTTTAGCCCGGGACTAAGACTAAGACTAAAATGAAAATAGCTGACAAAATTAACACTAGTGTAAACTTAGTAAACTGTTTCCATTGTTAGCTGTAGTTAGCAAGGAGCAGTAATTTACCTGTTAAACTGGATGAACACAAGGTTCCAGATTTCAAGCACATTCGGGTCATCCATGTTGACCAGGTGGGCGGCATCTCTGCCTCCAATGCGATCATAGTGGATCTCGCTGCAGGGTCCACATGGACCGGTGTCCCCCATCTCCCAGAAATTATCTTTCATGCTCCCCGGCAGAATACGACTCTCCTCCATTCTAAGACAGAGAGAAGAGAAACAAAAAATATTTAACAATTTCACATCAATAACTTAATACACCGTGTACAGATTCTGTACTCACCCCAAGTCCAGCCAGATCTGCTTGCACTCCAGGTCAGGCTCCAGGCCTGCGTCAGCATGACCACCAAAGTAAGTCACATAGAGTCTACCAATAGGTATACCAAACTCTTTCGTCAGCAGCTCCAGTGCCATCTCGCAGGCCAGGTGCTAGAGACAGAATGAGCAAAAGAGAAATAAAGGGATGCAAAGAGAAAAGGCCAAAATTCGTTTTTCCATTTGTGACACTGTCACACAAGGGACATGTTTTAACCGCTCTATTTATTACAGTGATTTTGTGTATTATAGAGTTTTAATTGGTTTACATGTTCTTAAGTCCATTTTATGCCTCTTATCCGTTTTAGTGGGTGTGTATGTCTTTAAGAACTGTATGGTTGGCCTGTCAGGTGATTAGCCACCTGACAGGAAGCAGGAACCCCATTAAAAAGAGCAGCATGGCAAACATACTGGGAGGCCATTCACAGCTTCCACTCACACCCGGACTGTGGAGTTTCTATTCCATTGGACTTACCTTTTCGGATCACTTGCAGCAACTTGAATTGTATATACACAGGTGGACACTCACATTGGGACTCAACGACACACTAGGATTCTTGGACTGTTTTTTAGGGTATGGACAAAATCTCACATTGGGACTCAACGACACACTGGGATTCTTGGACTGTTTTTAGGGTATGGACAAAATAACTGTATTCTTTTAACAGATTGAGTTTACCTGGTTTTATAGTGTTGTTTTAAAGTCTTTTAATGTGAACCTGTAAATACACCATTCTTATTAACCGTATTTCTAGTTTGTCATTCTTTTAACACGTTTTACCTCTCACACAGAAAAGTCAGACCCCATTTCAATTTGAAATCGCTGGGCTGAGCGTTACACATTTATAATTTTAGCAGCACATAAATATAGCAAAACAAGTAGCACCAGTACTATAAAGAAAAACGCCACGATTTTACAATACATAATACTTTTCTATCCATCTCTTACTTTAAAATAATCTCCAAAGGACCAAGATCCCAACATCTCGAAGAATGTATGATGGTACACGTCTTTGCCCACATCATCAAGGTCATTGTGTTTGCCGCCGGCACGAATGCACTTCTGTGTGTTTGCAGCACGACGAAGTCTGGCCATAGGGTGGGATGGGTCGATGGTGTTCAGGAAGATGGGCTTGAACTATAAAAAACAATTAATTGTTTCCAACAAATTAGGCACTTATGTTCGCCCATTTTTGTAAGTAGGTTCAAATCTCTTTACCTGGTTCATCCCGGCATTGGCGAAGAGCAGAGTGGGGTCATCAAGCGGAACGGTGGCCGACGAGTGGACGTACTGGTGCTCATGGTGGCGAAAGAAGTCGATGAACTTCTCACGGATCTGTGCAGCAGTCAGTGAAGAGTCCATGCTGGTTGTGTTTTTCTCAGGTGACTGGAGATATATATGCAAACACACAGTGAGCCGGAAACCGGTTTCACAAAAACAGTGGGTGGAGTAAACATGCAGCTGCTTTGTACTGCTGTTAACTGATAACAATTAAAGAATCTGTTATGGACACCTGCAGCCTGTAAGAATATCACGCACACCTCACGATCACTGCATCAATACTGGGACATGCGAGGGAGGAATCTGGTCAAAGCTTGCAAATTCACCAAACAGACTAAATACTTTCTGACATGCAGGGAAATTAAGCTAAGGGGAAAACACATGACTAAATGACTTCTTTATGTGGATAAAAGGAACTTTTTGTGAATATAAACACAAAAATATAACTATGAAAATGAAAATAGCACATCAAACCATACAAAATATCTAACTTAAAATTAAATCAAATACTTGGTCTGGAATTGAGAAACCATCTTCCGCACTGAAGTAAAGCTCCTCAGCAGGTGGAGCCAGTATGCAGCAAACAAAGACATCCCTGAAGTAATTACAGCACCACTCCCATAACAACTAATCCAAAATATAAAGACATCTTTTTCCTAAGGTCAACCCATAAACACTCAAGCCATGCATGCCAAGAACTTAACTGCTTCAACATCTACAAACTGAGAGCCATAATTTCTTTGCTATAATGACGTGGACTTAAATATTGATAAACGTGATTTACAATCAATATCAGGGCTCAACCATAAGTATCAAATTTTTACTCGTCCTGTCAATGTTTTTACTGGAACCAATGGAAAAATAGCCTAATTTAAAAAAAATTCATAGAATTTTATAATGAAATTACTATTTGCAAAACGACAACAATTAAAACTCCATGATACATATAGATTCACATAAACACATCTTTCCTGAATACAGATACTGGTGTTTATAAGTTTCAACCTACTCTAAATTATGTTTCCAAGACACAAGTCATAACATTTCCTTGAATACATAATTAAATCATCAAAATTTGACAATCATCCCAAAAATAAAAACATATGATGATGCTCTCATGTCACTCCAAGATAAATCACTGTCGTTGTATTTCCTAATTCGTATGCTGGCTTGAACAAAAAGCTTCTTTTAAATGAATAAATGTAATCTAAAACTCTTGATATTTATAGATTCATATAAACACATCTTTCCTGGAAAAAATACTGACATTTACTTAATTGTTATTTATTTTACTAATATGTAAAATCACTATAATTTTTTAGCCTACTCTGTCTGAATTACGCCTCTAAGGCTAATAAAAATCATAATTAAATCATCAAAATTTGACAAGCCTCAAAGTCACACATGCATGATGAACAAACTTCCTTAGGATGAATCCCATTTATTATATTGCCTTGTTTGTAAGTTGGTTTAAATAAGAGCTTCTGCTAAATATAAATGTAGTGACAACGCAGTGCTGTCAGGTAGCACAGGGTTGTGAGGTTTGCTCTTATTTAGTAGCTTTTTATTAACATACTAATAAAACCCTCACTGAGATTAAATCTCTTAAAGGAGAGACCTGCCAAAGACTGCTGCAAAGAACACAAAAACAAGCAGTGCACACCTGGCAAATCAATAGACCATTTCAAAGGAATTGTTTTTAAAGAAATAAAGCAAAAGGAAATGCTGACAGGGATCTTCCTTAATGCTGAGCCCTGAATATAAAATTCAAACAATACAGAGTAAAACACATCTGGCAAAGCCTCCTGAAGGATCATAAAAATCAGGCACATGACAAGATGCACTAAAATTAGTGAGCAGATTAAGTCAACAGACCAAGACCTGCACACAGTGAGCTTCACCTGACAACAGAAGAAAGCTTTGGCACATAAAAAAGTGAGATGAAGAGCCATCGATAACGATGCTCTATGATCCTAGAGGAAGTAAATATGCTTTAGTGTAATAACTGCATTCTGAATAAGAACTCATTCAGAACCATATAAACGTAAATGACATGACAGTTTCCACACATATATGAAAACTGGAATCTGATTTTTGCTGCACTGCATTACCAGTGCACTGGCATAGGCCAAACCCCTATAGACCACAAGTATGATGCAAGCTTGTGCTGACTTGCACATCAACATCTCCATCCGGATTTGCATTCTATATTACATAAGTAACCCAGTCATTATGTCAAGGTAATTTACAAAGAGTGGCGGATAATTCAGCCGTTCAGATTTATTTTACACTCGCATGCTTCCCTAAGCACGAGACAAGGCTAAACTGGCAATCCAGTCATTCACTGAAACACCATTTAATTGGATTCATGTGGTCTCGTGATACAGGTCACAAAGCCATATAATAAAAATAACAACAAATAACGCGTGGACGCAAATGCAAATCTTATAAAACTTACGGGATAATATTCTTGTAACCGCTTCAGACGCCAGTCACACTACTTCCCCCACTCCGGCTGAAACCAAAAGGAGAGTAGAAGCACCGCCCACAACACACATGATTGGTTCAGGAATATTGATGTTTCAGTGTACGTAGTTTCTATTGGTTTAGGATGCTTTCGATCAAAACAAAGACGAGCTTGGATATGTCAACGGCGTAAAGGACGGAACTGGATGATGCAATGATAAAGTAACAGTGCAGTGATATATTTTTTTTTTATTATCTTTATTTTATCTTACAAATATGATTTACAATCTCCTTTGATTTTTTTCTCTCCTGGTTAATAAGCATTTCTTCTTTCAGAATCAATCAAAGCAACACCATTGCTGTAAATAATGGAACCGCCCACAACACACATGATTGGTTCAGGAATATTGATGTTTCAGTGTACGTAGTTTCTATTGGTTTAGGATGCTTTCGATCAAAACAAAGACGAGCTTGGATATGTCAACGGCGTAAAGGACGGAACTGGATGATGCAATGATAAAGTAACAGTGCAGTGATATTTTTATTTTTTATTATCTTTATTTTATCTTACAAATATGATTTACAATCTCCTTTTATTTTTTTCTCTCCTGGTTAATAAGCATTTCTTCTTTCAGAATCAATCAAAGCAACACCATTGCTGTAAATAATGGAATCTTTTTTATGTTTAAGAAAAAAATTAAGCGTGTTAACCTAAAAGTTCATTATTATTATTATTATTATTATTATTAGTAATAGTTGTAGTAGTAGAAGTAGTAGTAGCCTATACAAACGTCCAAATGGATTAAGTGGAAGAATATCATGATGCAGTGTGATGGAAGGGTAGAATTTTGCACAATATAAAAGCAAGACAAACATTTACCATAAAACAGTGCAATAAAAATGAAACAATATGTTAAACACAGTACTTTCGATTTTGTGTATTTGGTTATCAAAGTAACAGTAAGCATTTCCTCACAGCAGGTGGCGATCAAAATCTTGTTTATGCACAAACCCCACATTCTATTTCCATTAGGGACAAGCATAAGTAGAAAATAGATTATGAGTTTTAAGCCATATGATCATTCACATCACAATAATGGCACTACTATTTACATTTAATGTAGGCCTACCTGTAATAAATGTCACCTGTTCGCTGGTTAAGGTTACTCTTTAGCTATCCCTGTTAACTTTCCTTCTAAAGTCTCCAGTTGCATTTGTCAAAAGGTACAAATGCAAGGTCAAGTATCTAATAAATATCTAGCTAAACCTGAAATAAATTTTCTCTGACATTTTATTACCACTGTGATATTGCCGTTTATAGGAAATGAAGTGATAAACAACAAAATGGAGAAATACAGAAAATATATTCTGCAGTCATATTTACATGCATATTTTTAATGATTACAAAACATTTATATCAAACACAACAACATCATTACACTGAAAGTATCAACAAACACTGATTTCAAAATTATTATTAGATAAAACTTTTTTATATTTATATAATAAAAGCTACGGTGTATTCACATGGCTGGGCATTTTACATGTAGAAAAACAGCTTTCAAAGTCTGCGTGAAAGCATGCAAATATATGTCATAAAGTAATCATAAAGGAATTGTTACATACTCTTTATATAAACAAATCACAAACAAAATAAGTAACAAGCAAAACAGCTGTCATCAAGTCAATTATATAGCATTAACTGTATAATTTACAACACACTAAATGTATGGTTCTCTGAATTGTAAATGCTTGTCTAGATTTCTGTGACAGCGTTCCTATTTTGCATTTTTGTCCGAACAATAACAGTGGCTTCTCCTTTTACATCTCTCAGTATGTCTGAGTCAAAGTCGACAAGCAGTTTTCTCAGGCCAGCACGGGTGGGCTTGAAGGAGAATTTAACTGTCACAGCCTGACCAGGTTCAATCTTACCACTAGAGAAAGAGAGATATAGATGTTAACAGTCAACCAAAACTTGGATGTCTTAGATCATATCTAATGCACTTCAAGAAATGTATACTGGATACTGAGGTAGTTCACCCATAAATGACAATTTGCTGAAAATTTACTCACACTCAGTCCATCCGAGATGTAGATGAGTTTGTTTCTTCACTGGAACAGATTTTGAGAAATTTACATAACTTGCTCACCAGTGGATCCTCTGCAGTGAATAGGTGCCGTCAGAATCAGTTCAAACAGCTGATAAAAAACATCACTAAGTAATTGACATGACTCCAGTCCATGAATTAATGTTTTGTGAAGTGAAAAGCTTTTATGATGTTTTAACTTCAAACTGTTGCAAAAACAGTCCAAAACAGTTGTAAACAAATATGTGGTGGATTTTGATGCAAGAATACAACAGGGGATGGACTTTTTCACTGGAGGAAGTGTTATTATGGATTATGAACTGGTATTGTGGCAAGAATCAATGGTTTAAAGTTAAAAGTTAAAACACCTTAATGATGGATTGGTTTCTTATATAAAGCTTTTCACTTTACAAGATGTCAACTGATGGACTGGAGTCGTGTGGATTATTTGTTGATTATTGTAATGATTTTATCATCTGTTTGGACTCTTATTCTGACGGCACCCATTCACTGCAGAAAATCCAATGGTGAACGAGTGATGTAGTTCTAAATTTCTCAAATCGGTTCCAATGAAAAAACAAACTCATCTACATTTTTGATGGCCTGAGGGTGAGCTTTCTGAATTGTCTATTTTGGGGTGAACAATTCATTTAATGTCTAGTACATACTCTGTATGTTTTCTAAAACTAGTACATACTGTGTTTTTATTTCTTTTGCCTCTGTTAGTCCTGCTCCCTCCACGGTAAACACACCTCCTTGTAGACTAACAGGCAAGGGATTGGTGAAGGAGATGTGTGCTGTCAGTTTACGTGATACAATCGCTTTTTCAATAATCTGAAATGTAGAACAAATATCAGTCATTGATTAAAGGACCAAAGCCAATGACACAGTGCTAGTATTAATGGAACAGTTCATCACCTTGATATGAAGCGCTGGCATTTTCAAGGGGATGTTGATTTCTTGTAGGATGATGTTGTCTTGATCAGTGGGTTGGAGGAGGGCTGTGACCCTTATCATGTGATGTTCAGACACACATGCCCCATAATGGTCATACTGAAGTCGCAATACTTCTTTATGAGCTATAAATTGAGGCAAAGATATTTTTGAATTTATTGTAAAACAGCCTTAAAGGAGAAGTAAAATTTGTTTGCAGATGCCACTATGCGCAAAATAATTCAGTTTCCTAGTCTTACCTTTGTGAGCTGGCACTGTGAGAGAGGTTGTCTTTCTCTGGCACTCTCCGCGGTGGATACTATTGTAGGTTATTGCATTCGATGTGACTATAAGCTGTGCATCTGTGTCCTCCCTACCAGCATTATACACCTCTATGATCACATCAAAGTCTGTCCCGTGGATAGCTGGGGCATGCTTGATGAAAAGCTCGAGCTGTCCTGGGCCTTCGTTCTTTTGGCCTACTTGTCTGCCCGCCTTTTTATAAACCTCTCGCTCCTTCATTGATCCTGTGATGGGACAAAGCATTTGAATGTGATTAAATATCAGAATGTCACAATTTCAGAATCAGTCGGCATGCACAAATATAAATTGAAATCAAAATGAATCATACTAAATTTCATGATTTACATGATTTACTGTGAACATGCCTTATTGTAAACAATACACCGATGGAATGTCTTTCCTGTTTAGGCTAGCGTCACAAAGGCCTCTTATTTTCTAAACAATTATTATAATAAAATGTATAATATAATTTAAATATATAGAAGTAACATGTACAAGGTTTCAGGTACAATAGGAGACAATTAACTTCATTTAACAACAGAATGTCAAAGATCAAAATTAGTTCATCATAAAGTGGTTCAAAAAATTCAAAACAAATGAGAACATTCAACAGGTTGCTTGTTTTTACCTTCAGGATATTTGTAGTTAGCAGTAATGTCCTCTGTGAAGTCTCCATACACACTTTTAGTGCTAATGTTCCGCCCTATAACTTTACTGTTTTGGGACACCTGAATCCGTTCCCCATCTGGGTGAACAATCCAGACAACCAGATCAGCATTCACCTCAGAAAACACAAATGGGGTGTCGTATTTCAACCCCACTTCTCCCTCCTTGACCGCATTGACTGGACAAGGCCCACAGCAGAAGACTCCTATAAGAACATGGAAGAAGAAGGCAAGCTAGCTAATATTCCAGTTTTATGTAATGGGAGATAGGAGAAGTAGTTCTCTGGATGTTCTTGTTTTTATACTTCAAAGAGTAAAGCTTTACCATCACTCCTTTCTTGAGGAGTAGGGTCTAGCACCTGCCATCCATCATAACCTTCTGGGAGGTCATCACGTTTCATCCAGGACTCAACCCAACAGTGGTAATTCCTGAAAATAGAGGATGAAGATCAAGTCAGGGACTACAGAGGAAAATGTTATTGCTCTTTAATAACTCAGGAAACTTAATGGAGTTCAATTTGGTCTCAGATATTTTTCTTAAAATTGCTTAGGAGACCAAAATGAGACAACTGTTGTCATAGGCTATAGAAAGGATTTAGAGCTTATAAAAAAATTATCGTGGATATCATAACTCACCAGATAGAGTCCTTCCTGCCTTCAGACACACTTTCAAGTTGATCATTGAAATAGTAATCCACAGAAATGTTTGCATCAGTGTCATGGGCAGATGAGTAATTTGTGATGCATCTGGTTGGAATGCCAAGACAGCGGAGGACTGTTGAAAAGGCACGTTGCAGATCACGTGAATAACCAACAGGAATAATAACAGTAGTGCGCATTTCTGAATTTAGAAACACTTCATATTTTCTAAATCTTTTGCTTTCTTACCTGTACAGGCCACTCCTGTGAACACCCAGCACTGCCCATAGCGCACTTTCTGTCCTCCACCCTCACTCCAGCGCCTCAGGATGGGCACACTGCCAGTCCACCGTGTGGGCGCTACCCCATCACTGTACTCTCCATCCCAGCGGCCAGATACCACACCGCGATCATCATTAGCATTCACCTGTTAATGCAGATTTTTGTTTATGTAGAACGTATATACAGTATAAGCAGAAAGCATATATATACAATGTAAAACACTTTTTACAGATTACTTAAGTGAAAAAGTCATTATGCTTGAGCAAATATGATTATAATAACAGGGGTGGAGACAATGAATGACCATGTTGACAGATGCCTTACCATGGCAGTAATAGTCCTGCTAACATAAACAGGGCTTCCTCTGTTAGCAATGTCCATCTCTGAATTTTTCAGGGCTGCGGGTGAATTGTCCAGCACTTCAAAGCAAATATCCACTACATCTTTTTCAAACTGTTTGAAAAATAGAATCCAAAGGATATGAATATGTTTGCATTAGTACGAAATGTAGGCCTACTGAGGGGTGCAGAGGTTTTCTTAAAGGAGTATTCACAATTAGACACAGTTAAAGTTAATGTGACATGCTGCTGATCCACAGAAAATAACCACAGGAAATAATTTGGACTAAAACAAACAATAAAGTTTGTGTACAGAAGAGAACTTGAAATGGAAACAGTTGTACGTCAAAACCATAGACTGTACATAGCACATTTTTTATTTGTGAGTTGAAATTATTGTGCACATTGACATTAAATGCTGTCCTTAGGGCCTGACTTGTAGCTTAGCACTTTTAGTTCTCCCGCTTAACCAGGAGAATCATGTTTGTCCTGAAATGGGACAGTCAGTTGTTTGTAAGACAGACATTGTTGCTGAAATGTCTGACATCTACAGAGAGTGATTACCCAGCAGACAAGCCCTCTGCGGTTCTCCTGCCACTGATCTGTCACAATTCACACCCTGCCTCATCTGAATTCCATCACCATGCAACATCACCCATAAATCCTGACTGTGTGTCAGTCATCACAGGCCATGATGCTTTCTCAGAGAGGGCCCTGACCACAAGACTGTTTAAACAGACAAATTTGGATCTTGAGAACTTGGGAATGCATTTGTAGGTAACCTGTCCAAAGTTCCAAGGCACAGTGGTGATATCATCCCATGAGCCCTGGTACAAGATCCCATTTTCATTTAAAATGTACTCCTGCAGCAGTTCCTCACTGGGAAGGTACACAGAGTCATCTACAGGAAAGAAATACAATTGGCACAATTTTGTGATGAGCAATAAAATCAGCGACAATCCACCTAATTTTTAAAGTTGGGTGGATTATGATTGTCTTTCAATGTTTTATCATTCATCAACTGTAAGAAAAATCATTTTGAAAGTGATTCCAATAATATCACTCCTCAGTGTTGTTCTTGTTGTGGTGTGGACTTCCCTATTCTCATAGAATTAGAGCAATTTTAAAAATGTATGGTTATAGTTATCATTCAATTTTTTCATTTTTAGTTTGAGTAGCCCTCACGTTGTTCCTACAATGATATTTTATCATCCATGGAACCCCAAAACATAGGCTGTCAACCTCCAAAATAACATATAAGCACCATAAAACTATGGTAAAAGTCTTCAATTCAACTCTCAGTTTTCTCAGGTTATACAGCACATTTGTGTGAGAAATAAACTAAAACCTTTTGAACAGAATAAACATAGTCATGAACGAAAAATGAACGATGCCTTTAAATATTCACCTTTGCACCAAGGATTGAAAAGCAGGTAGAAGGTCTGAGACTTGGTTTGCTCCAGGATCTGCCCATCAGCTGAAAGCAGAACTACAGTCATGCTGTACAGACCCACAGGAGCATCAGCAGGGCTGTGGAGAGTCAGCATCACCTCACCCTGAGCATTACACTGACTGAACCACCATTTCCCATGATCCTGCTGTGAGTCTGACACCTTCAAGACCACCTCATTATTCTTACCTGTAACACACAAACATATGCACAGAAATTAGAGGATAAATGTGACTTTACATAATATAAATATATGTTTCCTAGTGGTGTCTTATGTTGTTGTTATGTGCATTTTAGTATTTTTGTGATTGAGTTGTTGTTGTTTTTTTTTAGAGTTGAACCAAACTCTAATCTAATAACTTCTCTTATACTCCAACTCAAGATTATTATAGTTTCAAGCCCCAGTCCAAAACCTGTAGGCCACCTGTTTATCTTCCTCCCTGTTTAACCTAACTCTCTCCATCAGGTTTACTCACCCAGGTGTAGTATGAGGTTGAGTTGGTGGTCTGGGAGCCGTGGGATGTGGTCAGTACACTGCAGTACTACAGAGAATGGCTGACCTCTGCGCACCAGCAGTCGCACCATGTCCATCTCCTCAGTGCGGTGAGAATGGTTATTCTCATAGCACTGCAGATCTATACCACTCAGTAGGGCTGGGGACAAAAGAGATTAATAAACAGTTTAAACAATCATATAATCCAAATATCCATTTAGTTTATTAAGCCTTAGTTCCCTTCACCTATAACATGTCTTTAAATGCTTTGTTACTAAATGTTGCGCGCAAGTTATTTTGGTGGCTAAATTTATGTTAATCATGGAATAGGTTCCTAGGATCATGATATGGTTGCCAATTTTCCAGCCTTGCTGACCAGTTTGTAATTTCACACTCAAAAAGTGTGTTTCATGACAAAATGCAGTGTTTAAATAAATATGGAAACAGGCTACTGACTTGTTGGTTATTTTATTTCGTCCGGTATTGGATCTCTTGTGAGGTCTGGGCTTTAGAGCCTCAGCTTGGAAAGCAATGAAGAAAGTGGTTTGATGGTAACATTAAAAGTAAATGAACACAGACTGCGCTTGTCGGAAGGAGGGACTTTGTAGAAAACGAAGCGTTTGAGAGAGGCGGGGCATAGAGGACCTACAATAATGTACAGTATTTGAAAAATAATGTGTTTTTTGAACATTAAAGCATGTCAACATATTCTGTTACACCAAATACACAAAATAATGATCTTTAAAAAAGCATAATATGACCCCTTTAAAACATTTTCTACTGTTTTGTCTTTTTGGTGAAATATTTTTTAAAAGTCATCTTCTTGTGATCTGCTGAACTGAATTGTATTATATTTGCTTATATTATCTTCAAACATACAGTGGGGTCCAAAAGTCTAAGACCACCCTAAAAGCTGGAATACACTTAACGATTTTTGCCCTGATTTACAGTCTGGAGGAGTCAATGTTATAGCTGCCAAAAGTAAAATTGAGGATTTAGATTTTTGAGGAGTTAGATTTTGGGCAGTTGGAGTTGAGGGATTTCACAGAAAATCACATAGTGAATGGTGCAGTTTTATGGACTATGATTCTATCTGGTCAGAAAATATAAAAAATGCAATGAGATGCATGTTTCTGTGTTTGTTGTGTTTGTAACAATTTGAAAGTCTGGTCATGTGTGACCCACAGTTTAGTTTATATGTTTTAAGATTTAAAATAGTTAGTTTAGTGTGTTTTAAGATGTTGTGTAGTGTATTCCAGTCTTATAACAAAGAAAAGTTATGAAAAAACATAAAATTAATGATAAATATTTAATATTTAGGATCTCATAGTCAATATTTCTTGCTTAGACTGAAAAACAAGATGTTCCTTGGCACATACATTCTCAAATCAATCTCAGAAATAAAGACACAAATATATACCTAATATACTAATATATACCTTTGAGGGACTAAAATGCAGCATAAAGATGCACCTTTTGAAAAGATACTGCTTCAGACAACTTTTGTACCTTTTTTTCTGAGAGTGATGAGATGATGCCAGACAACAGTTTTTGAGAAGGAAGAGAATATAATAAACTGCTGATGATGTGTAAAGTTTCATAGTTTGTGGTTGCAAGGGTGTAACTTGCAAAGCAAACTGAATTTGCTGAATATGTTGTCAAGTATTAAAACTCTGTTCTTTGCACAAAGCATAGAAATAATAATTGATAACAACAACATGTCTAAAGTGTATAGTAACATATTTCTATCTGATCAGCTTGGATTCTGCTCATTGCTGCTTGATGCTACATTTACTTTTAATGTTACTGTAATGCCAATTTCTTCATTGCTTTCCAAGCTGAGGCTATAAAGCTTAGACCTCACAAAGAGATTCGATACGGGACCAAATAAACTAAATAACATGGTCCGACAACAAGTCAGCAGTCTGCTTCCATGTTTATTTCAACACCTGCCCAGCATGAATCAAAACCATCAGAAGTATTACTTTAGCACTAGGACCTTTAGCATCTACTGTTTTTTGAGTACGATTAATTTAATGGAAAGGCGTAATGTATTTTGATCCATTGTAGAAAGACCACATTATTGAATTATAAGTGGTTTGGTGAGCAGATGTTTTTTTTTTTTTTTAACCTACAGTTTCATAAATAGAATGGAAATGAAAAAGTCTCGGCAGCCCTCTTGGCAAAACTCTTGACCACCAGACTGCTTTATGTAATACATTTGAGTTCACTAACACAAACAGTTTTTCAACATCTTCACAATACCTTTTGAAAACAATCTTTACAGTAATTCAGTAGCAAACAAATGCATCTTGTATTTAATATGAGAGTGTGTATATGCTAAACAGCATACCGTGTTATTGCTATCTATCATATTGATATACTTAGTTCTTTCTTTGAGCAATATTTATAAAAAAACAAATATGTTAAAGTGACTTTCTTACCATTATGGCTGGCCATCGATGGATTTAGCTTGACACTTGTTGTAAGTGATCGGTGAACCTTTGTACAATCCTGTTCTTGATGTTTGCTGTAAATTTCCGTAGTTCAGTCCAAGACAGCTGTCTTCCCTGTAATACCTTTGCTTTTAGGATCCGTTTTATAAAGAAAGACCATCCACGCCCATTGATGCCCCACCATCTCTATCGCTGACTGCCCTTCTTTCTGCACAAGACACACCCTGACTCACACATCCTCTCCGTTTCCTTTATGACCCCTGACATCACACACATACAAGGTCCTCAAGCAGTCTAAGAGGTGCTAAGTGTGTACAGTCTGTGTGTATGCAGCTCTGCCTCTGTGGAAAAAGAATCAAGGCTTGGGTATTTACTACAACCAGCGTCTGCAAAAACACGTCATTGCTGGAAACTTTGTCTCTTTTCTGTAAAGACCAGGGTCACACACAGGGGACCTTTGTTAAAAAGAGAAGTTCTGATGGTTGGGTAACACTTCCATAGTATTCCATAGATCTACTCCACCTTTATTTCCCTGACTCAAAGTCAGTTACTTTCTATTTTTAATCTTTCTGTAAGTCTCCTATTTAAGCAAAAGGGAGAAAAGACAAACCAAAAAAATACATGTTCTAGGTAACATGAATTAGACGTCAAATGAGGATGCACTTTTTCCTGTAATACAAAAATGAAACTCGGATGAGTCATAAAATGTTTTCAGAGACTTTCCTTCCGAAACTTTCTCTGAACAATTGAATGTCGAGCATGCATTGAGTAACATGCACAATATAGCAGTTTAACATATATTATCTATAATGTGTAAAGTGTAATGCACTGGTATGAAATGCCTGACGTGTCAGCTGGAGGTCAAGGGGTCAAATTGCAGAAACAACTAAAACTTCTGACATAATTTTGTGAGAAATTTCCCCACTGTTTGTGGAGTTAATTAAATTCCATTAAGCTCCCTCACTGATGATATGACAGCATTAAACTTTTAACAACTGGGAGCCACATAGATCATTAGAATTCTCTTTCCCAAAATAAAGTAATGTGTCTGCTGTATTGTCTGGAAGAACAATGATCTCTCCGGCAGTGGATTCTCACCATGATGTGACATTACTACAGTTATTTTTGACTACGCAGGCACACAAAAGGGTCTCTGTCTTGCTTATACGGTGAGAATCAACACCACCACACCTACATATAGAGAACAAATTATTTGCACATGTGTGTGACACTAAGCTGAGGAATGCTGGAACGGGTAGTTTTCAGGACAAAATGCCCACACACAGAAACAAGCACATTGAATTTCACATTGCTTTCTCATTGATTTATCATCAAACAGATTTTGTCATAAAAGTGAGAAACATACCAGTGTCTCTTTGGTTAAAAGTTATTGATAAGGAAGGAATAATAAACTGCTGATGATGTGTAAAGTTTCATAGTTTGTGGTTGCAAGGGTGTAACTTGCAAAGCAAACTGAATTTGCTGATTAAGTTGTCAAAGTATTAAAAGTCTGTTCTTTGCATAAAGCATAACAATAATAATTGACAACAATAACACATCTAAAGTGAATGGTAACACCCTTGCTGTTACATTTGCTTTTAATGTTACCGTCAACATGCCACTTTCTTCATCAATTTCAACACTGAGGCTATAAAGTTTAGACCACACAAAGAGATTTGATAGGGGACCAAACAAAATAACACGGCCCGACAACAAGTCAGCAGTCCACTTCTATATTTATTTTAACAACCCGGAGCATTTCTAACCCATCTGCCCAGAATGAAACAAAATAATCAGAAGTATTGCCACCAGGAATATTTCATTAGGACCTTTAGCATTTGATACTACAAGCACAGATTTAGTTGAATTTCACATTACTTTCTCATTGATTTATCATCAAAGAGATTGTGTCATACACATGAGAAACATACCAGTGGCTCTTTGATTAAAAGCATCTGCTATATGAATGAATATAAAAGGGAGTATAGGGAGAGGAAGGTCTAGCAGAGGTTCAGCTAACATAGGCCAGGGGCCAGTTGAACCAGCTGGACGTAAAAAAAAGTTGAGGCGTCAGCTCCTCTGGCTGGTTTTCGCTACTTCCAGCCTTCCGATAAATATTTACACCTATTGCAACAGTTAAAACAACGACCAGGCGCAACTACCTCCAGCATAGAGGACGCGCGTCCATGCGAACCATAGACTGTGATGCGAACACATATTAGATTGACTATTGAAACCAAAAACGCCATTCCCGCTTAAATGATTTAGATGGCCAATCAAATCAAAGTAGGCGGGGTTTACTGTTAACAGAACAGAAGGAGAGCGCGCGAATTCCAGTAACTGTTACGAAGCGTCAGTGGTTAAGGTCGTCACTCTTCAGCGAGGTAAGATGGAAGTAGCTAAACATTTAATATTTGACAATTGTTTTACGATAGAAACGTTAATCGACCAACAGTAATATCCAGCGAGTAGCAAACTACTCGACTTTTCCCTCAAATATGGCCGTTTTTAATTTAAATTATGGTATCACGTGATTCATTCTAACTGAACGTGACGACACATTAAACGTTTAACGTTACTTTATACTTAATACCCCCAAATGTTCATGACATGGTTACGGCCTTCCCATGCAGAGCGAAATTTAGCCAGTGTCATTTAAATGTTTACCGTAAAGGGTTTTGTTACCAGTATTCTTTAGAATGGCTTTTTTTGTGCTCAACAGAAGAAACTCATAACTTACAGGTTTGGAACAGCATGAGGGAGTAACATGATGACAGTTTTTTTAAGAAGGGTCTGGCTGCAGACATGCACGTTATATTTATATTATTTTGTCGTCATTTTATTGTTTTAAGGAGTTAAAATGGCCCTTATCAATCTTGATTGATATATTCTATCACATTATTTTGACAGTTAACGTTTTGGGCGGGTTTTTGTGAGCTTTTAGGCTGGAAATCGTCCATCCAATCTGGCAACACTGAGCGTCAGTTTTTGACGTCGTTAGCGAGATGGAAGTAACTTAGCTAAATATTTAATATTTGATAATCGACCGACAGTAATATCCAGCGAGTAAAGTTAGCAAACTACTAGACTTTTTCCTCAAATATGGCCTTTTTGAATTGAAAATGTCAAATTTACGTGATCCATCCTAACTGAATGACGACACATGAAACGTTTTGCGTTTTCGACATATTTGGCATACAAATAAGAGTGAAGTGTGCATATTTAAAATATTCTTTGCGAATAGTTCAAAATGATTACCTCCGTGCTAGAATCCTAGCTTTTCTTTCACCGTTCTATTACTTTACTTTATACCCCCCAATGTTTAAGATATGGTTACCATAGAAGATATATACCATAAATATATGGTTAACCTACAGCCTTGATGCGCCATCTTGCTTGGAAATAATTTCACAGCCAGCATCAGCGAAATTTAGCCAGGGAGTCATTTAAATCACTTTAAATTTTTTTTTATCAATACAGTGGAAGTAAATGGTTACCCTAAACGGTTTTGTTACCAGTATTCTTCAGAATGGCTTCATTTGTGATCAACAGAAGAAACTCATACAGGTTTGGAACAGCATGAGGGTGAGTAACATGATGACAGATTTTTTGTTGCATCATTTAAAGTCAATTACTTCGGTTTTACCTGAGGCTTTTGATTACAGGTAATATTGTAAATAATGTTCACTTTCTTGCACAGACCAATCGTTTCGCTTTATAAGACTTAATATATAGGCCTAGTCAGTAGCCATGGGTATTAATTAATTTTGTCTTACCTGTATATGCTTTTTTTGATTCTCAGGTGTCGGTAGCTGACCTGCCTTTTATGAATCACCAAGGACCACGGTTTCAGCTAAAAATCTTCTTAACTGTTCTACTGAAGAAAAAGTCACTTACATCTTGGATGGCCTGAGGTGAGTAAATTAACAGCAAGTTATCATTTTTGGGGGGGAACTATCCCTTTAAGACAGTGATTTGCCGCCCTCTACTGGCGGTTTTAGTTTCATATATAAAGTATTATTAAAAATATATATAACAATATATCTTATAACACTATTAATGCAGTTGTAACTGCAGTGTAAATTTATTCATGCATCAGTCTGTGTAAATAATCTAAATGCCACTTCAGGTGCAGCTTCTGTACCAATTCTACAACAATGGATTTTGTTGATACTCATTTTATTTGATTGCTATAGTGTCTTATTATTCTAATTAAATGAATACAGTTAGGAATTTGCATGGAGTGAATAATACTAAATAATAAATAGTAAATACAGGGCTTAATGTTATCCGTGCCGGATCTCCGGCGTGCAGTGTTTGGCTGCGGAAAAAAATAATCCTACATTTAAAAAAAATTGTTGATAACACTTTCGAGTCCATGAGTTCGCCTACCAATGGTATGAGAGGAGCACAGCAAACTGACATTACTAGCCAATCAGAATTTTTTGCTTTTATAAACACGAGACGCACCCTGATGAATGGAGAAGCGCGACAAAAAGCTGCGATGTCCATCTAGCGCATATTTACATAGAAAAACTAATTAAAAAGCAGCGGAGCTTTGTAAACAGCTCAGAGTAATCATGTCATCTCCATAAGAGCGATATGATTGCCAGAACCAATTTACCGGAAAGGTAAATGAAAAGGTCCTGTTCACACATGATCTCTTAATGGTGACTAACCGGTAATTTACT